CATAATAAATAATAATTATTATTATTATCATTGTAAATTTTATTTTAAAATTAATAATTACTATTTGTATGTTTACAACGATTGCCAGCTTCAAGTGTATAATTTGCTCGACAAGTACAAACATATCTACACATATCAAAATATAAAAGGAGCAAAGTCAATATATGATGACATCAATATCCGCGAGCAGTTTCGTTTCGTCAATGTCAAACTCTCATGCAAGATGTTCGAAAGTGATCTGTGATGGAATTACTTCTATAGCATCAGCTTGTGCTATGCCTATACCAGGTGAAATAGCGAATGACTACCACGTGTACACTGAGTTCGACTATTGATGATATTCAGAATTTTTATCTATCAATCTGATAACTCGTCAGGCTAGTTTTCATCTAAGTCGATAGAGTCTTTTCGACCACTACAAAGTAGTACGAGAAAAAAACATCAGCTCTTGAGAAAAACTCTAAGAATACTATTTTCGAGATATGATGTTATACCTTTGTTCACTGGTATTTAGTAGATTTCGACCAGAAAAAGAGCAAACTGTGTGTAGCTAATATGATATTTTAAACCAACATCTAAAACTGAGTAGACCTATGTAAGTTTCAAGTATTTTCATGCACTCTTTCTTTTGGTCGAAAAATTCTTCATTGATTATCCTTACGGAACAATCAAAAAATGAATCCCATCAAAACATTATTTCAACAGTAGATGAAGTTTAAAGATTATAAAACCATATTAGAACTTTAAATTGCCAGTATAAACAAGTGTTTGAGAACTAATGCTACTAGCAATGACTTTCGAACACCTCGTATGAGAATTTGTAATAGGAGAAATGAAGCTTCTCAAAGGAGACAACTTTATCAGTTATTGATACTCCTCCCTTTTATATCATAACAAAAAAAAAGTATATATATTCAACATACGATCCAATTGTATTTTGACAATCTTGATCACATTCATCCCAAATTTCACATTCATTAACATCTTTAATGCAATAGAATCGAAATGCAACTTTTTTCTCCAAAAAAAAAAAAAATTTTAAATATTCTTACCAATACAAGAACGATTATCAGTTGGATTAATTTGAAATCCAAGTGGACAATAACATCTACCACGACCATCTGGTGTTGGACGACATGCATGTTCACATGACAAAAAACCACAAAGTTGAGTACCTTTATTATATTTTCAAAGTAAATCAATCAATTAAGATCCACGCGCCACATAAAAACAAGAATGAATATTGATGATCTTCTCTCATCAGCAACAACAACTCAAACAAAAATTTCTCTTGGTTGGACATATATGAATTTATTTAGTTTAATATTTATTCTTCTATGGTCATTATTATCTATATTAGCTATTTATTATCTATGGTATTCATTTAATCTTTTTCAATTTGAAATACAAGATATTACATTTGAAATAGTCGATTTTCATACAAATGAAATTGATACAAAACCAAGAGAAATATTTCGTCTTATTAATTTACATGATGATACATTATCAAAAGCTATTGTAACTGTATAATTAATTCGAATGAAAACTTTTGAAATATTTAGAAATTAACCGAAAAGAATTTAGAAATATTTTATATTAATTACACTTAATTTTGAATGATAAATTCAACTTACCACATTGTGAACTTTCATCTGTACCATCAATACAATCTTGTTGACCGTTACATACTTTTGTTATATCAATACATTGACCAGTTACATTACATGGATACATATGTGGTGGACATTGTCGTGCACTACAATGTATTTCATCACTACGATCAAGACAATCATCATCACGATCTAATTTATAAAACCGTAAACTGATATTTTTATTTTCTATTTAAAAAAGAAAATTTACTTACCACAAACCCATGATGATGGAATACATCTTCCATTAGCACATCGAAATTGGTTTGAAGTACAATTAGGTCGTGCTATAAAAATGAATAAATACAATAGAATGTCTTGATAAAAAGAAAACACAAGAAATATCTCATCATAACTGATGATAAATTGTCCATGACATTTTTTATCTTGTTTGTTTGACGAAAAAGGCTGAAATTTTCATCACACATATATGCAATCAAAATCTTTAATAATCAAAAATTTCAACTGTCTAGATAAACTATTACCAAAATGCATAGACAAGATTAACATACATAGATTATCGTATTAGAATTTTTAATACTTTCACTATGTAGTCAATCGCAATAGAGCAGCTAAGCATGGTTTCAAGTATATAGAAATATATTTATGTCTCAAATATTTTAGATTTAATGACAAATTTAATCTTGAATGTTCACCAGTTACGAAAACAGAAAAGATCGTGAATGGTTTGTATTGAAGCTAAATCGTCTTTAAACAACATGGAGTTTTTGTCATACAATTCGTTGCACAATTATTTAACAAATATATAAAATCAGTAGATAGCAATTCCAAATTTGTTGATATTATGAAGAACTGAAAATGTGTAGGGTGCACAAAGCGAAAAAGTTTTTGATGCATTATTATAATTAGAAAAAGAAACAAAGATGTTGTACTTTTCTAGTCTTATTGTGCCATCCTTGAAAACTCAAAAAGAGCTTAAATAGTAACTATCGATTCAGATAGCTTCCTCATCAATAATCATGAAACACTCTCTATATATTTTTTGTTCTTCTTACTGCAATTTGCTTCATCGGATCCATCAAAACATTGTGAACGAAAATCACAACGTTGATAATTTGGTATGCATCTACCATCGGATACACATCGAAATTGATATATTGAACATGCTGTACTATCTAGAAAAATGAATAGATTATGTTAACGAATCTTTTCTTTTGATAAAAAAGAAAGCTACATACTGCAATTGAGTTCATCAGTTCGATCATCACAATTATAATATCCATCACATTTTTGTGTTAATGGTAAACACCGTTGTACATCACATTGATATTCAGTTGAAGGATCACATTGACGATAATCTACAAATCGTACATATGTTTTTTACTAGAAACAAAAATCGAAAACTTACTGCAAAATGCTCCTTCATCACTACCATCATTACAATCTTTTACATGATTCTAAAACAAAAAGTATCAAATAAATTTTATTTACATTAAAAGAAAAAACTAAAATAGACATACACATTTCATGGATGCATCTATACATCGTGAATCATTACATTGAAATTGTGTACTTGAACATCTTCTTGGAGCTAAACAATAAAAAGAAGTCAATTTTACGAAAATGATCTTTTAAGAAGAAAAAATAACAACAACATACGACAATTTTGTTCATCAGTATTATTTCCACAATCATTGTCACCATCACATACCCATGAACGAGGTATACATCTATCACCACAATCAAATTGTGATTCCGAACATCGTGGATAAGCTATTATTTTATGAATTTAAATCTTATAAAAAAAAAAATTTATACAATTTTACACATACTGCAATTTCGTTCATCAGACCCATCAGTACAATCATTTATTCGATTACAACGCCATGATAATGGTATACAACGACCGCCTGTTTCACATCGCCATTCATTAATACCACAAGCATCTAATAGAAAAATAAAAACTAATCTTATTCGTCTTAGTTTCGTAACTAATTTTACCTGTTATTGAATATAGCAGTAAAAAATTAGAACAGAAGAGAAAAATAAGTAATTTCAAATTCATTGATGAATTATCTAAAATATTCATTCGAAGAAATAGTTCTCGTTTCGTTCTTTTTTATTCGATCCTAAAATAGAGTCTAACAACGTTGAGTGTATATATATATATATATATAATACTACTGCTACCTTACCGTCGCACAAAAAAAAGCAAAAGAAAAAAAGATGACCGACTCACATAGGCACATACACACACTCGCATCTGATTTCAATTTTATTCAGTGATAATAATCCTAACAGTGGTACAATTCTATTTTGATAATCTTCATCATTTTTTGCTTCGCTTGAAAGAGAAGCACATATTAAAAAAAACGAACGAAATTTGAGTAAATTGAGAAGGCATAACACTGTCAAATCACTGATTATTGAAATACTAGATAGAACAATCAATAAAACTATTCTTTTGATTTTTGTTCTTCTCATAAAAAAAAAAAAACAAAAATAACAATCATCTTTTTTTTTCTGTCTTATACAGACCTATATAAAAGATTGATGTTATAAATAGGCAGCAAATCTCACTTGTCTTCTTCATCTCAAATGATAAAACCAAAGTGTCTCTATTCTCTCTTCTTCGCTTTTCGCGCACCGTTTACATATGAAATTGAAAACAATCTTCTTATCTTATTTGACTCGATGGTGATTTGTTTGTACATTATTTGACTACATCTCTTCTTCTCTTTTTTTTCAAGTGTCTGTATTTCTAACCGCGTAAATTTGTAAAAAGAGAAAAAAGTTTTTTTTTCTAATTTTTGATTAAAAAAAACAAAATCGACGATGAGAAAAATTTTATTTGATAAACGAAAATAATATTTTAAAAAATGGTATGTAGTCTTTGTATGAAGTAATTGCCAACAATTGAATAGTTAATACTTAATGGCAAAAAAATAGGCTGTTTGCATATTTTTATCGATTTGACCTTTTATCTCTTTGAGTATAAAGGCAAAAAAAACACTAAATATTCAATAACGAATCGAATGAGAAAGAAACAATCAAAAACGAAAATCATAATGATTGATAAAATGAGACAAGTTTGTTTCTTTTTCTCAGCTCATGTGCATAGAGATAATATTTTGAATTATTGAAACAATCAATTAATATCATTACATTCTGGCTGGGTTGGGATGGTTGGATCGATGACTCAGTAGGCGAATCAGAAGATTTTTATTCTAAAGTTGACTAGATATCGTTCGGAACGGGAAGATGATGCAATTTTTTTGAAAAAATCAACTTTCCCACTTTCATTTTCATGTATCATTTTTTTTCAAACTGATCATTGTATGACTTTATTATAAAAAAACCTGTCATAGTTATTCATGTTTTAGTTTAAGTATGGAATCATATTCAGTTAGTGAACAAACACGTCGTATTTTATCACCTTATAATCGACAATATTATAAATTATTTAATATAAATTTAAGAAATCATTTAAAAAAAATAAAAGTAACGTTAGATGAAATCATGAATAACTTGAATACAAATTTGTATTCATTGAAAAATTTAAAAGAAATAAAATTTTATCGAAAAAAAATTTTTCAATTAAATCAAATTTTAACAAGATTACGTAATAAACGATTAATATTTAATAATAAAAATAATTCATTTTTTTTATATCTTCTTAATTTTATTTATACTCTTGTGAAATATATTACACAAATTGAAATATGTAAGTCAATGGCAATAAATATAGTTAAAATCTTATTTCTTTGACAAATAAGGTATCCATGGAATTGAATGGCTAAAAAAATGTTTCAATCACATAATTAGCTTTAATGGTTTTATTAAACAACAAGAAGAAGAAATAATAAGAACAGAGTTAATTTATATTGTTAATAAAATTCGAAATGAAATACAAAATAAATCATATCATAAACAAGCTGACTTTCTTATGATAACATTTGATATTCTAAGTAGTGTTCGATCAAAATGAGGTTTACATCATCGATCAATGTGTATGTTGGATTTTGATCGTTATATAAATTTGATCTTTATTGATAATTTCTCTCATCTTTTTTTTTTTTTTTATTTCGTTAGGATGAAATAAAGACGCATATAATCGAATGATGTCGATGCCAAGGTTTGATGAGTGCAAACATATTCATATAAGATAACATAAAACAATCAATTGTGATAATAAATAGTCAGATATTATTAGATTTTCTTTTTTTTTCTTTCAACGCATGAAATAAATGATCTTATGAATTAGGTCAGCACAAGAAAAAACGCGAAGGACAAAGTTCAAGGCAATCTTATTGGTTATCGAAATATTTTAGATGAAAGTTAATTGTTCGTATTAGAATTTTACGCAAATTAATGATCTTATAACAGTAAGCAATAGGAACGAAAATGTTCAGCGTGGTGTATTATAATGCCTAAATGAAAAATAAACAGCAAGATTCGAGAAAGAATTATTTCATCCTTGACGATAATAACATAGGGTGATGTAACTATTAAGTAATTTCAGTTACAACGAAATTTAATCTATAAAAGTATTTATCTTTTAGAAATACATGACTAGCGAACAGAATATTTTTGTTGATACTATAAAGGATGGAGCTCATAGAAAGAGATATCATATGTGTTTCAGCAGTGGTCGAGTTCCGTGAGTTTTAAACTCCTGAAACTCTTGGAGTTTCCAGCACCCTCGGAATTCTATGATGAATGTGGGTTTGGATTTCGGTTCTCTGTTCAGCAGCCATATCCATATTTGAATATCCACGAAAAGATGGTACCATATATTTGTCAACTCTCGTGGCAATGTCAATATCGTTTGAAATACCTAGGATTAATCTGTTACTGAAATTTTGAGAGGTTCATAAGTTTAGAACTTATAGAGTCCGGACGTGTCCTCTCTTCTGATGATAAACTACGATTCAACAACGGACAGATATTAGTTTAAATAGTCTAAATAGTATCGTGGCACTTGCTGGTTAGCTATGTAATTGAAACTAGTCCAAGAAAAGTGAGCTGCCTAGTCTGGAATGTCTTCAATGGAGATGCATCGTCTGTTGTAAAAGCGACTATTCTGTTTAGACTTAATTATCAAGGCAAGTGGCTGAGATTGGCTCATAGAGGAACAAAAAAGCATTTAAATGTAATGCAAGGTCTTTTGAAGCATCCATATAATTTTTTACGATAATGGATACATAATTAGATGCTTCTAGAACACGGACTATATAGTAGAATAGTAATCATTTCGCTATCATTTGTTGAGTAAGAATCAACTGATACCAAGAAGACATATTAAAAGAGAAGCAGTAAAATAATGCAGTCTTGAGACTCATATCTTCGAGTCCTATATTCGGAATCATACTGAAATACATGTTTTTCGTCTTAATTGACAGTTAAACGGGATCTACTATGTCACAATTACGAAAATTAGTATTGATGCTTAAAGTTTTATTAATACACATGTAGACTTTTATTAGTGTTAAATGACAATGAGAGAAATTATTCAAAATTATGGATAATGTCAACTGTTGACAATATATTCAAACAATGTATGCTTTCATATTTTTCATTATGTTCGGTGGACAACTTTGCAATTTCATTTGTTTCATGTAAAATGGTGTATCGAGCACTACTTTGAGGAGAATAATAGATTTATATTTTTTATTATACATAATTTAGTGTAAAAGTAACTCTAGTTTCTTTATGTCATAGTTTTATTTATGATGATTTAAATTTAAGAATATGTAAATTACATAAATTTCAATTTATTTTTCAGCTTAAATTGCGGAAATTTAAAACTGATATAAACTTGAGTTATGATAAGAAAAAAATTAATTCTCTTTCCATAAAAAATAGTTTTTCCAGGTGTCAGCGACATGAAAGAAGTTTTTGAGAAAATAAAAACAATTTTAAACTAGTTCTATTCAAATTTATGAAACTAATTCTGTATTCTAAGATACAAATTTTTTTATTCATAGTCAAATTTAAAATGTTTCAAGTGAAACTATTATATAATATATTACAATGTTTATTGACATGTAGAAATCAGTGACTTGATCGTATAGTTCAGTCTATTAGGCGATTGATAAGTGATATATTGTGAACTTGATTGAACCTAGCCTTCCTCCTTATACTTCTATTCTTTAGACTAGTCCAACCATAATCAGTACATAAAACTACAATATCATGGTTAGTCGTTTTCTCAACAAGACTAGACATCACAAACAAAGTGGCGACCATCCAGTCAACAGTTAAGATGTGAGTTTTGAACTAGAAATGATTTCGCACTAGTTATGCATTAGGACTTTTTAACAAGAAAACCAGACGAGACATGTCGTCACAACTAGTCCTTTTACCTGTCCTTGGCTTGCATGACTAAACAATTTCTTTCTTCTTACAGCAGCTTCGAGGCTCTATTGTTTTGGGAACTATTGGGGTGTTTCTACAAATTTCGTTATGGATTTTATCATCAAACGAAAGTAACTAGGCTGCAGACAATTAGCTAGCTGAGGATGAGGGTGAAGGCTGACTCTTTAGAGCTATGGCTGTCTTTTGATACAGTTAAAATGTATTATATGCTATCAAGAGGATAAGTTGAAATAAAGTTGTTGAGTTAAATAAGTTTTAGTCGCTCTACATTGGTATCTGAAAATAAATGAATCAGAAAATATTTATTTGTATTGCGTCTTGTAATATTAGACTTATAATAATATCATTAAAAAGACTGATAAATATAAAGTATGAGTAAATCTGTTCTCAAAAGTATGTCGGAGCGTTTCATATTACAAGAAATGACCTTCGACAATATTCGTAATCAATCATAGAAAAATTAATGGATTGTAGAATGAATTGTTTTTTGAAGGATAAGATAGCATCAAAACTTTTGATCATATTTCAAGTTTGTAAAAAAGATAATTAGTACATTCCATACCATATCCATAACCGTCGCATACAATCTATCTTAGTACATATCAAACTTATGGTCTATTGACCTTGACAGAACGCAATACTCAAGTTGATAAAGCATACAATTGTATAGTTACGAACCAAAGGGATAAGGCATGCGCACATAATTATAGCAAATTCAGTTTTGTCTTCAAATGATCACACACTCTCTCAGTGAAACTATTTATATTCATTCATAAAAAAGAACTCATAAATAATTGTTTATAATGAAAACATTTCTAAATACAAATTTTCAAATTTGTTAAAATTGGAAGTTTTGTTTTGCTTAAAATTAGTTGACATAAAATTATTTCCAATGCTAATGTAAGACGATCATATAATCTAATTTACGTTTATTTATTTGATGTATATGTTATGCACTAAAATTCAGTGAAAGAGATTCAATGAATGTCAATTTCGAGACTACATATTGAGATAAAATAATACTCTAAAGTAGTTATACATATATATGTATAAATTTCTATCAATTCTAATTAATAATTTGCTTTTTCAAAAAAAAAAAACACATTTATAAAATTCTATTAAACACTAAAATGTCAATCGGATTGTTCTGAAGATGATGATGATGAATCAGATTTCCAATTTTTAGTGTCATCCATAAGTATATTTGAATTGCCAAGCATGTGTGGTGGTGCTTGATTATTTGTTAGACCATAATGTTTAAGTGTCCGTTTACTTTGAAGTACTTTACCATTGAATATAAGTCGACAACCTTGAGTATATTTTGGTGGAAGAGTACTTCGAATTTGTGTTTTTAATTCACCTACTGTTGCCTTTTCATGAAGAAGTATGACAACGAAAGCATCATCTGATTTCCGTGTAATTGTTAGTTTTACTTGATTCAATGTTGTCGTCATTTGATAACAAATATGCTTATAATCGATACGGATGAGAGAATACAGAAAAAAAATATGTGTTCTATATGCGTTTTAATCAACAGAAAGTAATATTTTTCTTTTCTTAATCATCTATGGTATAAAAATCAAGGGTTTTTCTTTTTTAGCTTTTCGCTGTTTTTTTTTTTCAATCCTTTCGATAAACAAATGCTAATAGTCTGATCTAAATATATTACAATATATATTCAGTTAAAATGTTTGAAACAAACAATATTTTTTATCACACTTTTACAATATAAAAAATAGTAAAAAGCACCTCAAAACGAAATTTATTCACGCAGATTTAAGAAAAAGAAACTATATTAACGAAAGCCAATCATCTGTTATTGCCCAAATACGTTGAAAACATTTATCATTAAATATATTTTGATTTCCTGTATGAACACGATGTAGAATTTCTGTTTGTTTAAAATGTTTTGATTCAAACATTTTTATTCCTATTCGATTATCTTCAGGTAATGATAGTAACATCATACCATCATAATCAACAGCACATTGTCTTAATAATAATAAAGCTATGTTTGAATTTTCAGCATATAATGGTCCACATTTAATAAACGCATGACTAAAATTTAAAATAACATAACCTAATATAGAATTTGTTTTTATTGAACGTGCAACATAACCAGCTATTGAATATGTATGTTCACGTAATTGTTCAAAATATTGTATTCGATATGTTGGATATATTTGGTGATCATAAGTAGCTATATCAAGTATATCAGATGATTCAAATAATTGTAAATGAATATCATCTTCATTAGCAAGTGTTGCATTTAAAAATTCACTTAATTTTCCAATAAGATTAACTAATGTAAAAGATGCTTGAAAACCATAACGAATATAAAATGGTAAATGTTTTGGTAAAATATTAGCATGAATCAGATTTGTTTCATTGGATTTGATTTTAAAAACATAATTTGTTAATAATTCACCAATACCAAATTTACGATAATCACTACGAACATAAACAAGACCAAGCATAAGAATGGGTGGAGTAAAATCGTCATTAAAATTCCATTGTTTTATTGATGCATGAGCTAATAAACCATGTTTAGATACAATCACATATGAATGTTTTGGTCGAAATGAATAATAATACATTGAAAAATCAACTGCTGCATTTTGAAATATTGAACAATTAGTAAAGAATGCTTTTAAATCATAGATATCACGAGATATCATTGGACGTATAAATAAATTGAGTACTTCAATTTTTTCATCTCTAAAAATAATATAATAGATAAAAGATGAATGCTAATGTTTCCCTAGGGAATTGATCTCATTATTTTTTATAAATTGATTTAACCGTAATGAAATTGGTTTTTTTTTGGTTTTCTTTTTTTTTTTTTTGATATTAAGATTATTTTATTTTACCTATAGAGCCAAAATGAATATTGACTTGTTAATATTGGAGCAATAACACAACAGGATGTCTCACTAGTACATTCATGATCCGACATTAGTAGAAAAATATCTATATGATTGATAATGCAACAACAAATAAAATGAATGTGCCAATTGATAATATTAAAATTTCTATACTTCCATTATCAGTCGTAACAAATTGTTTATGTGGAGTTAATACAACGCAATGACCCTATCCAACTGTGTATGTATGTTTCATGCTATTTCCATTAGAACAGTGGCATCAGCAGGAGGATAAAGAAGAGAGAATGAGGAGGATTACTTTTTCTTCTATTTTTTCTCTTTCGTTTTCTGTATTTTGTCGATCTAACGCTTGCATCTTCTATTGCTATGCGATCAATCTAAAAGAATTTATTTAGAATAATAACAAAGACAACACAATGAAAGAATAACAATGATAGTAATAATAGATAGGAAAGACAAGAAGCAAAAAAAAGAATACTTTTTTCATCGACGATACTCTACATCCGTTTCTATTACAGACATTTTCTTTTCTTTCTATTGGATATCAGCCATCTCTTGTCTCGTTATTCCTTTAGCTTTTTATCCTATTCATATAAATAATCTTTTCAGCAATAGAATAATAAAAACAGAAACCATCTGTTTATATAAATGCCATTTGATTGATGGCGCGGTTTTTTATTAATATAAAAAACAAAAACAAAATTTAAACATTAATTTCTAATACATAATTTCTTTTTTAAACTTTATGCGTTCAATAACAAAAAAATTTCGTCAATATCAATCCTTAGCATTGTTTTCTCAATCATCAAATACGATAGATAGCAGTACGTTTAGTTTTAATATTGAACAATTAGAACAATCAATAAAAGTTGATGTTGAATCTCATATATTATTAAATTTATTAGTATATGCTAAAGAATTAAACGATTTATTTTATAATGATGAACGTTTTTCAAATAATTATTTTCAGCAAATTGAAAATAATCTTTCATATATACAATCGAATAAATTGATAAATGATTTAATAAAAGTAATTAAATATTATTTTGAAAAATATTTATTATCATCTATAATAATACGTTGTTATATACAAATACATGTACCATCATCACAATCAGGTAATAATCAAGGTGTTAATATACAAAATCAAATATTAAAAGAACTTGATGATATGAAAATAATAATTGAAACAAATGAAAATATATTTATTGATTATCATAAAAAACATTATGAAATATTAAAATATTTAAATAAATTTCCATCTATTGAAGATTATCATTTATATTTAATAGAATATGAAAAAAAAATTTTCTATGATTTACGTTCAATTATTTTAGAATTACGTACGATTTTTCTAAAAACATACGATATTATTATGAAAAATTTAACTAAAATTCAAATGCCTAGAAATCAACAAAATATATCTATGATTAATTAGAATAAAAAAACAAATTCCATTATTCTTATTTCTTCATGTAAATAATATGTCTATTAAAAAGACATTATAAATTTCATAAGTATAAAAGTTATTGCTGAAATCTCTTGACAATTTCTTTTCTATTATGTGTTATTCAATGATAAATAACTAAATATTATGAACCTGAAAAAATTCCATTGGAACTTTACTTACACTAATTGCTTTAGTTTTTTTTCTGCATTTAATCTTGTCATTTTGAATGCAAGGAAAATACAAGGGAAAAAATCGTTTTATTCGTATCTATACTGACTATTAATAAGAGTCATGAAGTTCACGAAGATCATAACCTTTAGAATGAAATTAAATGAAACAGGAATATTGTCAAATTTTATTGAGGTTTACTATCATATACTCGATCTTTAGATATGACATGTTATTTATGCTAGCGACTAATCGACGAGTATTACTGATTATAACCTTTCTCTTTTCAATCAAATTTAAATATAAGATTGTTTGAACACTAATCACGAAAAAACGGATTCTATTCAAATAAAATGTCTACATTTGTGGCTAAGACGTTATCCAGGGGGAAACGAATTGATTTCTTGATTTCAAGTACTAAAAATCAGTTTTTATGTGTTCATCATACATCAATATGAAATCATTGGGAGTATTTAGAAATGAATGATAATCAAGGAAATCAATACAAATCATTAGAAATCAGAGCTTTATTCTTAATTTCCTTACGGGAAATTTTCTGTAATTTAGTCTGATTTTTGATGGTTTCTAATATTGTCTACGATAGAAATCAACTTATTCCTCCTAATGAACTTTGGCATCTTTGTTTTTTCTTAGTATTTTTATAAGCATGCTTTATCTATTTTTTGAAGAATATTATATAAAGAGTTTCTAATCAGTTTTGATCCCTTTCTAGTAATATTCTTTTCTTAAACGTTTTTTATAGTAGAACAGGCTTATATTTGCATCAGATATACTAAACATCGGGATCTAATATATATCCCAGTATTTGAATTTTCTATCGCTTACAATCACAGAAATAGAAGTAACATAAAACTCAAATAAAATATTTTTGATTTAATTTTACAAATAGTGCGGATGAAAAATTCTAGTAATTCGATGAGCATTTCATAATGAGTACCTTTTAGTTTTCTGTATATCAGATCTGCATTATGTCATTTGTCATTCTTTTTAAAATATTAACTTGGTACTGGATTTTCAAGATGATCAACATAGCTAATATCGAACAACAATTGTAATGATGTAAATTTCGTTCTATCTATTGATTTTTATTTAGCATTTCTAATAGAAAAACAGAAAAAATCCTCAGAAATAATTCAAAACAAACTTCTTTGAATTTTTATGTTACTCATATCTCTGTGACTTAAAGAGGTAGAAAGCTCAAATTCTAGCATATTGTAGATTTAGATGTTTAGTGTATGTGCTGTAAATATTAGTCTATTCTACTGAAAAGACATATAATAAAAGAATATTAGTTTGACAGAGATCAAAACTTATTTGATACTTTTTTATGACAAGAAAGTAGGAAATGTGCGGCATCTTATGATATATTCACTTTGAACAATAGATAATGTTTAAAACTTGAAAGTTGTACCAAAAGAGTAAAAGTGATGTTTTCCTATTTCTATAATTTAGTTTAAGCCAAGTAAATTTCCTCTGTTTTTTTATTATGTTTGTATTTCTATCGATATGCATCAATTTTTAGTTGATATTTATGCAGGACTCCAGCGTCGATATTAACAAGCATAATAAAATAAGAGAAAGACTGTTTTTTATATGAAAAATTGAAAAAGATTCAATATCAAATCATTTCATATTTGATTGTCACTTGTGTTGAAGAGAACATCACTTTTTTTTTCTTCATGTCTATGTTTTTTGTTTCTTTATTTACCAACATTTAGATTCTTTTCGTCATTACATATGTAAGTTTCATCCGAATGAATTCATAAGAATACTTCATAACATATTCTGCCTTAGATTCATGTTTTTCGATCAACAATGACAGACCTCTCCTTACTATTATTATTAACATTGCATTTATTTTGAAGTATTCTCTTTGCCCAAGGTCAAGATGTCATAAGATACAGCACATTTTATACATTCTTGTTTTAAAAAGAGAGCGGGCAGTAGAGCATGTTGGGTCAACAATTTTCAAAGCCAGTCGAATCGTACTTTGATAGTTGGAATGAAATTTTCTAAATGAAATAGGATAGCCGTCCAGACACTGCGAGATACTGTTTTCCTGCCTATTGTATTGGGTGACTCGTGTATCCTACACATTTTTTAGACGACAAAAGCCAATCTGGTTCAAAGTTTTCGGACTCGCACCTGTTCCAACGGGCTCTAACGAATAGGAACCAATGGGCTATCATTGTATATTAATCGAGCCGTTCTTTCGTTTAAATGCTTGCTATTCGATGTATTGTACTACCTATACATGTGTTACATTCAATTTTGTAGGAGGAACTTTATCAGAAAAAGAATTCAAGATTTCTATGTATCAATTTAATAGTTATTGTTTATAATGATTGTTTTTATTATCTAGAAGAACTGTATTTAATATCATAAGAACTGTTTAACACACACATATTACATAGAAGTTTAACAGAATAAATCACTGAATAGAAAGAAATAATTTGAATTAAAGTTAATTATGCAATGAAACATAAAACAGAATGTTCTAATTATTAAATAGAGCATTAAAAAGAAAAGAAAATTTAATTTTCTCTATTTAATGTTTTCTTTCGTTTAACATAGCTTTCTTCAATAGCAGCTATATCTGCATTTTTAACTATCCATACATGTTGTGCAACATCTTTCAAAGGTAATCGATCAGCTGGATTTCGACGAAGTAACTAAAATCAGAAACAAAACAAAAATTAAAATTTTCTCAAACGAAATGTTTTCTTTTTTTTCTGATTCATTTACTTTTGTAATTAAATCACGAAGATCTGCTGATGTTCCTACTGGAAATGTCAATTCAATTGAACGTATCATTCGAATTGTTTCATGTTGAGTTTGACTATCAAATGGTGGTTTACCAATAATCTGAAAAAAAAATGATCCATTAAAAAGAAAACAAAAAAAAACAATCAAATATCAATTACCATTTCATAAGTAAGAACCCCGAGACACCAAAGATCAATTTTTTCATCATAACCATTACCATTAAGCATTTCAGGTGGTAAATAATCTAATGTACCACAAAGTGTCGTTCGTCTTCGAAAAAAAAAAGAAAGTTTTTCATTTAAAACAAATCAATGTATATGAATATTTTTCTTTTTTACTTGCATGTCGATGTACTTTCAGCAGACCAACCAAAATCAGCTAGAATAAAAATCTAAAATCTAAAAATTATTCTTTCATCATAATTAACCTAATTTTAAAATGCCATATTTTCCAATTAGAATATTTTCTGGTTTGATATCTACAATATATTAATTTATAATATTTGTATTCATATAATAATATAAATATACCCCTAAACAAAAGAAAAAAAAAAGTAAATGAAAAATATTTATTTAAAACTATATTCATACCGATGAATAACACGTTTTGTATGTAAATAATTTAAAGCATTACATAGTTGATAAACGTACTATAAAAATGAATAAAAAATATAATGACCTATATTCTCAATTGGAACTTGTTGGTCATAAACATGCATACAAAATAGCCGTATACTAGCCTCTTTGTACTTGAGAGTGACCTGCTTTCTTTCACAATTATCTTGCTGACATTGAAACTGTTCGATTACCACATTTTCTATTCTTCCTCAATTTTGATTCTTTTTTTTATGTCTTTCATGTTGCCTTCTATTCTATCTTTTATAAAAATGTCTAATACTAAAAAGATAGAGAAACTGAGCTCATACTTTTTTCATTATTATAACAGTTGTTAATGTATAGGAATAGAAGTTTGAATACGCTTTCTTCTTTTACTGCAGAATGTGAATAGACGTGCATCAAGTCCAAACGATTCGTATTTGGTGCATGTCTAACTGTGACAGACGTTGTTGATATGCGGTCACAGACCAAAAAATCAATAAAATCTGGTTATAATTTATAAACTAGTTGTTGCATTTTGGGTGGATTAAGTGAAAGCATTGTGAAGAAATGGGTTGTAAAATAGAAAAAATAAAACGATCTCCCTGTATTCAACAACAGCAACTATATCGTATTTTTACATGATGACCATACAGAAATCGTGCCAGCAGTCTTTTTATTTATGAAACAGTTATTTTATATGCATCAATCCTTGAGTAATTAGAAAAACGATGACACAAAACTGTTTAAAAACAATCGTCATCTATCAACAAATATTAATTTGTGTGATGATTGCTCCCTATGATATTAAATCATTGGCTCAAATCAACTTAATGATTATAATAGTCAATGGAGTTTTTTTTTATCTAGTGATGATAACGAGGTTTATAAAAACTAGACACAATAGTTTTCAAAGTTTAGAAGACTTTGTTGTCGCTGTTTTTTTTAACAATGCCACCATGAAAAGCGAACATTCTCAAAGATTTGATTAATAAAGTACTTTTTTTTAATTTTTGTGATGTCTTTAATTCTTCAAGCGAAGTTCGAAGAAAATGCGGTGACCTTCATTTTGTTCTCTTTAAAATGACATCACTAAAAAAAATAGTCCTAAGAAAATCTTCTAGAACCTAAAAATTGCTGTGTCCGTTTTCTCGGAAACTTCGTCTTTTGAGCCAATTGCTTAACATTAGAGAAACAAAAACCAAAACATGTTGTAGCTAAATTTTTTTCACCGTCTTTTATTCATTTGCTTTGTGTGCTATATTTCAGCTCTTATCTAGGCTCAAGATACTCCTCTATTAATTACTCTGATTATCAGTAGAGAACAACACATAATATACAATGAATGTTGAAAAAATTTGTTGATTAAAAATATTGTTAGCTAAGAACAGAGAACATGATGGTTGAATAACTTCTATGCCACCAAAATAATTAGGAAAGATAAATGAAAGAAATGAGATCTCTATCAGTAGTAAATAAGCTAGTATATGACAACTGTTAATGGATGTTCGTTATCAATAGGGAACAAGTGATAAACATCGCTCATTAGATAGTTTGAAATATGAAAAAAAAATAAAATAAAAAAATATTTACTCCAGCAGCTTCACTTTCACGTAAAATTTTTTCTGTTTGCATTCGTCGATATAATTCACCACCGGGCGCATATTCAAGTAATAAATAAATTCTTTGTTCATCATGAAAAAATCCATAAAGACGTAGAATATTTGGATGTCTATAAGCAATCTATTCGTTTATAATAAAATGAAGAAAAATAAAAACTTTTAACATACTTAAGATTTGATTGAATTTCTATTTCACGTTTAACTTGTTGTTCCATTTTAGAATTTTTTAATTGAGCTTTGAATAATATCTAAAGAAAAAAGAAATCATTTGAAAGAAAAAAAATAAATAAACACTATTTTATTGTTTTCTAATTACCTTAAGTGCAACAACAAAACGTGTTTGTTTTTCACGACCACAATAAACATAACCAAATCGACCACGTCCAAGTAAATTACCTATTTCAAAATCTTCAATTGTCCAACTTGAAGATTTTCTATGATAAAAAAAAAACTAATATGTAATCTCATACATTAGTTTCTTAACAATATTGTTCCTTCTTTCAGATTCGGGTTTTCAAGTTCGACGCAGAGCTCTAATCTTGACTCAATAGTTTAGTATATATTAATAAAGTCTTTCATTTCATTCAATCACCATGTTGCTTCACAAAATTTAATCGTTAGACACAACTATTTACCAAGAAAACTTGTTCTGAAAACTCTTCTAATTTTTATATAGAAAAATAACTGATGTATGCATTTTCTATAGAAACACTTAAGTAATTCTAAAAAATATTAATTGCTAAAGTTAAGATCCTCCAAAAGAAGTTGATTTTCGTCAGATAAATCGAAATTGAGATAACAGCGAAAGCTCTAATCTTTTATAAATGATATGGTTTTTCATTTGGTACTCCGTTTTCTTTGCTTATGCTTTTGTTACCACACATTCCAGAATTCGTGAAATAGCTTCATTGTAGCCACTTGCTTTTTTTGTTTGAAAGAGCATCAGAAGCTATGGTGCCTGTTTTTTTTTGAATTAAACTTCTTTATTATTATATTAAAAAAGCACTTCTATAAATAGATTAGTTTTCGAGACATTGAACATGTTAATCTTTTTCTCCGTATAATAAGTAAGAATTTAAGAAAAGGACACTCCCATCTGACTTGCTCTTTCAAAAAAAAATGGCATCGATAGGTTAAGAGCTCATACAGACTCTTATGTTTCAAATGAGTTATTTTGGATTGGATATCTTCTGAGAACATCATGATATGAGGCCGAAAATATCACACTATTTGAGTTCATCTTGCTCGAGACCGATTTTTGATGCTGGCAAGATTTGATTTATTTTACAAACTTAACGAATAAAAACTAATCATTATACACGTACGTTGATGTTTTCTCTTCATTATTATTTGATGACATTTTTTCTGGTGATGTTGGTGATGGAACACTCTCCGACCTTAATAAATTATGAAAGAAATGTAATCTTAAGATAGAATTCATGTTTGAATAATATACTTTATTGATATTTCAGTTGTTGAAAATGTTGGTGGAACCATATTCTCTTTAATTTCTTCTTGCTCAACTGTTTCATTTGTTACTGTTAATTTTTCACCACCAACAATAATATTATTCGATGATTTATTTTGTGAAGTTTGATTTTCATGATGTTGACTATTATTAACCTTTGAATTTGATGAAGTTTTATGACTTGAAAAAAAACGTTTGATTGCCGACATTTAGAATAATCTAATAAATGTAATGTAATAAGATGATATAGAATAATCAATTCTTTGTTTCGAGCCTGACGAAAAATTTGACCAATAAAATTTATGTTCGCTAGTTTCCATTCAATTTTTCAATAAGTTCATATTTTAAAAGAAATTTTCGTTGAAATTAAAAATAAAATTAATAAAAATCATAATTTAAATAATATAAAGAAAAAAATTAAATTTTTCTATTGAACAATTTTATGAGGATCGAATGTTAAGGATGATGTGATATCAATGGCAGAAATGTGTTGACATGTTTACATCTTATTAGTTTCAATACATTTTTCATTTCATACATTTGAGAACATCATGTCTACATCAAATATGCGTGATGAACCATACTATACAAGTGAACAAATTCCAATACCACCTGAATTACCTGATATCTTACTTCAATTTTCTAAAGCTGCTATTCGTACACAACCAAATGATGTACTCGCTTGGAGTGCTGCGTACGTTTTAATAATTAACTATTTATGCATTCCATGATGAATTTTTTTTTTTTTTTACATAATTATAGATATTTTCGAGCATTAGCAAATGGTGAAACACCACCAGTTAAAGAACGTAAGAATAAAATGTCAATCAAAAATTAAAAAGATTATTTTATGTCTAATTAGGTCTTGAGATGCCCGTAGCTACGCAAAAAACTGACACAGGTTTAACAATGGGTCTATTGAAAATTTTACATAAACAGGTGAATATTATTTATTATATTCAGATCAATAAGAAATTTATAGAAATAATATAAATATTGTATTTTAAAAAATAATTTATAATTTATTATTATGATAATTAAATATTGTTAAAAATAGTAGAAATAAACAGATTCACAATCGCACTGTTGAATAAATCATGGCTTTAATAAACTATAAAAAAAATCATTTAAATATTTTTGTTTTCATGTTTTCATATTGGATTAATTTAATTTCGTGTTACGTATCTTGTTTTTATGAAAAAAACGATCTGTAGAAGTAAAAAAAACTCAATCTTCTATTTCTTTATAGCTCTCACCAAAAGGTACATTACCATTACAAGAAATTCAAAATAAATTTGATGATTTAAAGATTCCTCGTGAACAATTTGATGATATTGTACAAATTGGCTCATTTAATGTTGATGCACAATGGGATCATTTTCTAGCGATTGCTGTATCCAAATTGGCTAAAGTATGTATTGATGTCCTACAATTGTAAATTTATGCTTCTGTTTTTTTTCCCTGTTAATCAGAATATAACTGACACGTTAATTAAAATATGTGAATTATTAACAAGCGATCCGCCAGGTGCTAATGCTCGTATACCATTTGAACAATGGAAAAAATATTATCGATATTTAGCTGAACTTGATGGTGAGGTTCATCAACAACATATAAAAGAAGTTATTGATTATTTAGCTAATGAATGGGTCATAAGACAAAATGGAATGATCCATCCAAGAAATTTCATTCATCCGGAATGTCCAAAATTGGATGGCTAATTTATTTCATGACCAATATGTTTAAAATAAAATAAAATAAAACCAAAAACAAAAGACAAGAAAAGAAAATGAATATGAAATATGTATTCGAATTTAATTTTCATTGTTGTCGTTGTTGTTCGTGACGTGTATTTGTCAAAAAAAATTACTTAACATTTTCCTTTTTGTTTTCCTTTTTAGCAAATATAATAAATTCATGTATGCTTTTTATATTTTCTTGAATTTAAAACATGAGAAATATTCATTTTCCATTGTCGAATTATTTTTGTTTTCTCGTTTTACTTTGTAAAAAGAAGTATAGATCACGTTTGTTTTTTTCGTTTTTTGATTTGCAACAAATAATTATTTCTCATCGATTATAGAAGAACAAAAAAAAATAGTCCATCTTAAAAATTATAATACATGAATTAAACCCTATTCAATGTTCATTGTTGACATATTAATAGACATGACATTGTTACTTTATTTATGCAGAAGTCATTTGCTGATTGACTTCAATTTATGAATGTTATTCTCGTGAGATTTTCTCTCCAATGACACTTTGTTAAAACTTCTAGTAATTAAAAATATGTCAGAAATATATTGAAATTAGATATAGACATTAGCCTAACTCGAACTTTCAATTCTTCAATGTAATGCAAGTGAATATTACGAAAAAAGTTTATCGAGAGAAATGACATTTTGTGTTATCGACTCACTTATATTTATTATATTGTAACAAAAGAAGTGGAGAATAATAAATCCTCACTAACTATTTATTAACATTACACAGATTCTTTCATAAATATTGACAAGGATTTGTGATCTGTTGTGAGTGTAGATACCATTATACTGTTTTCTGTGTTTATAAAATCTTTTTTCGGTATATGAACGAAACAAAGACTCAAGCAAACGGTTTATTATTTTATGGTTGTTTTTAAAACGTACAATGATAAGCCTTTTGCCTGACAGTTTAATTCATTTATATATTCGAAAAGGATTTATGAACATAGAAAATAGTAAAAGATATACGAACTTGCTCCAGACACAACCTCTTGACAAGGTGTATGAACAGAGAGGGTTTATGAAAGGGTAATAATAAATGGATAGTGAGATTTTCTTGTTACTTTTTTATAGTATAATTACAACAACGTTTGAATAGACCGATTATTGGATAACAGAATGTAAAGATGTTGATTATCTACAACACATTCGATTGAGCCATTAATATGAATATTTAATCAAAACTCATATTGTTTTACTTCATTATTACGCATTACTTTTTCGTAATAATATATATATCTAATGTTATGAAAAAATATAATTTTTATTATACAATGATGGTAAATGTTATTTTAAAATTGAAAATTATTATTTATAATTTTGCTTTGGATGTAGATAAAATTGTTGTAATTGATGATCAAACTACGATTTAACAAAAGAAAGATTAATACGATTATTTCGAATTTCCTTCAAAACATTTTCTGTCGATCATGACAAAGCTCAAAGAATAACTTCGATAGATTAGTTGATGAAAGATTGTACCGATACAAAGGTTTTATCCAAATATCTGATCACTAATCGTATTAAAAAATAACTTTTGCTTGCATACACAGGTCCTTGTCTACTACTTCGATACGGTGTTATTATTATCAGATACTACTTATGTTTCTTTATGCGGTTTACTATTAGCACAAATAGATAAAAATGTAACAATTATAACATTTTCATTAAATGAAAAACTGAATGAAGTTAAGCCAAATAATAAAGTACTATTATAACTAAAATTACTTCTTTTTGAGTGTAAAGAACTCGCCGTGTATAAATAGAGATGTGCAGAATTACTCCTACTCTGCAGACGTAAACGGCGAAATCACAAGGTTTAGGTAGTTTTTATTTTATTCTAACAGACAACACGTTTTTAAAAGGTCAGTCCACATTTTTCTGTAACCACAGCTATCACTGAATGATACTGCAAGGTTATCAGTCGAATAAAAAAACATATTTACGCTACTCAATGACTCGACTGCATTTAAATCATGTTATTATCCTTCATATTCATAAAGAAAGAGATTTACTTGATTTACACAGCATCTACTCTAAATTAATTTAAAAAAAAACCAAAAAAGAACATTTTTTCTAGTTATGAATACTTCCATATCGTTTAAAACTGTCTTGTTTAAGCAACATTTCTGTGCTATTTCGTTAGTTCCTGATTTCGTTCGAAACAATAAAGTAATAGATAGGTATTATGCTTGTACATCATTTAAATCTAGTAAGAAGAACAACTTTTCAACTAGTTATTCAGGTTAATTTGGCTGAAAAGTTGAGCCTATTGTAGACCGAAATCATTCCGTCGTCCTTGTCTTCAGCGTAGAGTAAGAATGAGAAAAATTGTCTCAGTCAGAGTACAAAAAAGCTTACCTTGTACATTTCTATTTATAAATTTAATATTAATATTTATCGTAGTATTTTCTAATATTCAATTTAATGGAAGTATTTTTTTTTTGTACTAACTGATTCTTTTTGAATATGATTTCGTAATAAATTGAAACTTCAAGTTTTTGATGTCAAAAGAATCATATTACTAAATCACGACATTCATTTTACAATATCATAAGCTTGCTTGCTAGAAGTTAAATAAAATTATGAAATTCATTATAGAATTATTCATAAAATTGAACCGAACTAGAAATACTTCCATAGAATAGAAGCCTGCTGTACTTCTAATTTGTTTTGCAAGTTAGAATTTTTAAGGTGAGCTAAGCAAATGTAGCGAAAATATGCAACATCTTTTGAACACTTTATACTTTATTCAAGACTCGGCGGCCGAGTTCATTGTGACTTCGCGTATGCATATGTATTTTTCAAGTCGTAAAAAAAATTAATTTGTGCATTGCTCAAGAGAACACACAAGACAAAAGAAATTAAGCACATATACAGAGCTATAATTAAATAATGAGAAGCAATGAACTAATCCATCCAATATCTTAAATGGTTTATTTCGTGCTTAGATCGAACACAGTATGGTTCTATACCTTAGAGATTTTAGTAAAAAAAAACTAGATGTAGCTTTTAAAAATTCTCTTGTATTTTCTGCAGTATTCACGTTAACTTATAATATAAAGTATTTAAGTTTTATTTGAAATCAATATTCTGAAAATCAAATACATGTAAGAAAAATTTTCTATTAAAATTGATTAATTTAAAAAAAAATAAAAATTCTTAACTTGTCTTTGTATTTATCAATTTTTACTGTAAAATATTTTAAGAATGGTTTTGATTCTTTTGTTTTATTTATGAAGTTGTCCAAGAAAAATAATAAATTTACAAAATATTTATAAATAAATAAACTAAATAGAAAACCTGTTAAAATATTAAAAACAAAACAAAACAAAGACATAAGTCAGCAGTTCTAATTGTTTTTTACTATTCCCTAAAACACATAATACTATATATAATTTCGGATTATGCTTAGTTTTGTTATAAAAAGCGAAATAACTTAATACCACAATTGATAATTTTTTTCACATTTCAAGTTTTGTTAATTCTAATTTACAATTATACGGTAATGAATTAATGTCAATTGCAAGCCTTCGTTTATTAGTTGGATAATCTTCCTACAAAAAAAAAAAAATTTTCTTTTTAATAAAAAAACACCTTGTAAATTTACTTCTTCTTTTTTAATATAAACCATATATTGAGGTGAATCACATTGATATTGATCATTCTTATCATCTTCAATTAAAATACATCCTTGTCGTAAATCAATTGAATCAATTGGATATGTTACATCTGTTTGGATATATTGTTCAACTGGTTTTCTTCGATCAATAGTTACTCTAGATTGAGACTAAACATTTATTTCAATACAAAAAGCAAACATTCAAATAAAAATTTATAGGTATCTATTATTACTGATATTATTGTATTGGAATGATCAGCAATATTTGTTGAAAGAATACTATCAGTATGAGCTGTTATAAGATAATAAAATATAATATTAAAATAAAATATTATTTAAGTTACTTTTTTTTCGTTTGATTATTGGTGATAATAAAATTTGATCATTATCACTACCATTATCGTTATCATTATAAATTAAGTTTGGATTTTTCTGATTCATTATGTATTCTTTATAATGTTTTTCACAAAGATAAGCAGATTTAACTCCAGCTGAACGTCGTTTACAATTTCGAGTATGATAATGACATAATGAATACCATTTTGTACCATTCCATTGTTGTCGAACAAGTCGAATTTCACCTTTTTTTGGTTTTGTTCTAGTCGGTATGGTTGTTTGCTTTATTTTAGCTTTTGGTATTGAATTTTGCTGTTGAGGAGTATCATTTAATGCAGATAAAACTTTGGGTTTCTTCTTTCGATTTTCCATATCATGACGATGACAATAACCATGTGCAACAATATAAGATTTACAACTATCAATGCTACAAACGAGTCGCCAAGATTGACCATCATATTTGTGACGAATACCTTCAGCATCTACCCTTATATCACCACGTTGATAAGAACTTTTAAAAGCAGAAGTTTTTTTTTTTTAAACAAGGAAAAGAAATTTTATTTTACTTGATATTTTTACTAGATCGTCGAGCAGATGTTCTTTGAAGACTTTTTTTTGCTGACAGTATCTGTCTTTTATCTTGTATTGTTGGATTATCCAATTCCTCACATATATCACTTTGTATGACGAGTAAATAATGTTTTCGACATAACCAATTATCAAAATAAATACCACCGTTTAAATAAACTAAACATTGAGGCATACAACATACACGACGCCATCTCATTCCATCGTATTTTTGTCGATGTCCTGGATCATTATCAATATAACGTAGATCACCTTTAACTGGGTTTGAATTATTTAAAAAACTCTTTGAATTGATAGAATCAATTGAAGAATATTGATGTTTTTGTCTATTACATGACGCATATCGACTACATGTTCGATGAGTATGACAATGGAATTCATTTATATTATCATCGGAATTCGTTGATGAAGACACTGATTGAATATCATCATCTTCATTAACTGTATTTTCAAGAGACATATCGTTATCTAGAAAAAAGAAAAAAAATCTGATAAGATATCATTCATAATTTTAATAATGACATGCTGATGAATAAAATGCTTCATTTAACTTCTTTTTTTCTTCTCTTATTTCGATTGTGTGCTATGTAAAGTCATTCATATACGATTTATCTGATCATCTTAGTTCTCACATTAAAAGCAAAATAGTTTCATGGTATATTAAAATTCATTCATGTGTGACGACAAGCGTAAACTTATCTTTTTTCTTCCTATTATACTTTTTCGTTTCAAAAAATATGTCAATGACCTTTTAATGTCTTTTATAGATGACCTTGTCAAAGAATTTTTCCTTGTTAATACAACTCAAATGTGTTTTTTTTTCTTATCCATAGTATTTTACCAAACGATTGCAAAAAATGTTTATATACGTGTGTAATATGTTTCAATTTTAACTACGCAGAACACACAGAAAAGGAGTCAATAGGAATAGAAATAAAACAAATAAGAAAGTCAAGGAGTAAAAGGAAAATAAGAACCGAAATGAAAATAAACAAACTAACGAATGTTACTATTTTGTTCTCCTCAATGAAGGCCATTGTTTTAATAATGATACAATAAAATCATTCGTTTGTTGAATTGCGTAGGCTATTGGAAAAAATACATAATCAATCGTATGTAATTGCATAAGTGGTAATTGATTTGATGATTGCTCAACAATTGAGAATGCTTGTGCTACTTGTTTTTTATTTGTAGTTAATAATGATGATACTGATTCAGGAAGTGATGTAGATGTAGATGATTTTGTTGATTTCGATGGTGGTGATACATGATTTTGTATTAAACGTTCAAGTTCTCTAAGATGAGCTGACTGATTAGTGAAAGTTATTTCAAGTTCAGATAATTGTCTTTCCATTTTAGCTAATCGTTCTTGATGACGTGCTTCTTTGTCTAAATCATTTTTTGATCGTCTTGCATATTCAAGAGCCAAACCAGCAATAGCAATACTTAAAATAACCGCTACAAAGAAATGAATAATAAAAATTGTAATTGATTATAGAAAAAGAATCTTTTCATTAAATATGAGTTTTATTCTTTATTTTCAAAAAAAATGTTAGAGTAATCTGTAGGGATTAAAATGTAAAAATATGATGTAGTTGATGTTATTGATCACAGTGAGGTTATTTTATTCTATCTATTTTGAGAAATATTTCTTCATTCATTGTTTTACTTAATCATTGAAGAGTGCAATGAAGAGGAAATTCATATTACGAGTGACCAGAAAGTTTTTAGACAAGATATTTGTTCATTTTTGACGAAATCCCGACGAGTGAAAAACTATAGGTCACGATTAGAATTTGAATACGAGTTTAGAAATGTGGTCTTTTTTTTTGTTCAAGAGTGATGAGGGACTTTTTAAAAGGTCTGAAAAATTGGTCTTTTCAAAGAGCGGACACTTCGCTACAGAATGTAAGCTGTAGCTTTTACGCAAATGAAGCTATCAACATTTTTTCGAGAGCTTCTATCAACATAAAATAGTTGTACCAAATTATCCTCCTAAACTACTTCTTTTGACTTGTCAAAAATTATTCCCCTTAGCTTGAACAAAAACTGACAAGAGCAGTTCATCAACTATTGAATTGCTCATTAAGAGAAATCTAGCGACTCATAGATAGTCGACGATGCTGATTTCGAATATCAATAGGATCTTTACCGCAATCTTTTCAGAGATCTAGTTTGATCAAAAATCATTTTCTATGGCGAGAATTTGTTTTCACCTATCTAGTTTATGCAGCATCTAAAGTTGAGTATAATAAACTATTTTTCTCAAAATTTGAACCATGATAGAGACGGCTTGAATAGTAAAAAGTTTGTCATGCTTATATGTCTATAGATTTTCCAAACTGCTAAATATCAGTGTGTCAGATACACATTATTAATTCATTGCAATATGTTCTTTCATTATGTTTAGACATCTATAGTACATTCTCTAGTTCGATGAAGAGCTTTGAATTCTCACCTTTCGAGCTTGCATGATGGAAAAAACTTCCCAAGTACTATATTTTACTCGAAGTTTTCTTTAGGTTAAAAACGACGTGAATGCGAGTAAAGTTTCTATTTCATTAACATTCACAGAATGGTGAAAAAAATAATCACTACTAAGATGATAACAAAATTGTTCCTTTTCTAGTAATTATAAACTGTTGTTATTAGACGAACGAGAAGACAAGATTATAATAATACGACTTAGAAATAGACCAAACGTTTAAAAAAATCTAAAAATGCGCTGAATAAATCCGAAATAAAGGCAAACAAATATTAGTAATGAAACATGTAGAATGTAACGCTTGAAAGAAAATTATGAGAGATAATAGGAATTAAAAATTTTGATTCCTTTAGTTCCTTCTACAATAGCTCAAATTTTCAAAAAAAAAGTCTTGTATGCTCAGATCAAAGCGCTCAACAAATTAGACAGATAAAAAGAAACTTTCAACGAAAAAAATTTTTCGTTACAGAAAACTGGCTTTTCTGAAAATAAGATCTTTAAAGATCGATTAATAAAAGTCATAATACTATTCGGAATTAGAATGATTGATTACTAATAACTCATTAGCTTTCGTTTAAAAAGTAACCAAATAGTTAGTAATCTCTCCTCGTGTGGCAAAATTTTTAAGTTACACACAAAATTCGGGTAATAACTCAAAACTTTTGACTCTTGTCAAGAATACTTTCTCATGAGTCACAAGAGAGCAAAGATCTTATCTAAACATTTCCCAATTGCCCGTTATTATAAGCAGACATTGTTGACATACAGTATATTATCGCATATCAACAGCGTCTGTCACGTCTGCGGGGAGTGGGTTTTAACTTTTTTTTCTTCAACATTTCTCATAGATTCTGTCTCATAAAAGAAATCAATTATTCTTTTTTTATCGATTATCTTTCCCTTGGATTCTTTTTCTCTCAAATAATAATGTACACATACCTTCACCCAATATATCAGCACCAAGTGCAACAGCTGCTTCTTCATTCATTTTAGCTACTTTTTTTGTTTCAATTCCTAACATTCTCATTCGAAGATTAACATCATACCAATGATAAAATTGTGCTGGAGGCATACAGACCTATTGAGCAAAACAAAAAAAAACATTTATTTTTTTTAAATTTTATTATCTAAATGAATAATTATCAAAATTAATGAAAATATTTTAAAAAATCTAAACACTCACATATTTTTTGAAAAATTCACTATTTTTTGCTCGTGCTTTAATCTGATTAGCAAGCGGTTTGCTAACTTGTTTGAAAAAGACGATAGCCAATTTGACAAGGGGAAATGGAGCCATGCGTTCTTTTTCCTTATGTGTTTTTTATGATTATTTCACTCTACAACGAATATAAAAATTAACGAATAGTTTTTGTTTGTTTTTTTTTTATTGTGTTGGGCATTATATATTATAACTTAAAAGTTTATTGCAAAACAAAAGGAAAGTAAAAGCTATCCAAAGGATAAGAACACTAATAGACGTTAACGCGAGTATTCCTATACTAAAAAAATCAAAAAAAAAGCGTGACAAAAAAATGTTCTAAAAAATTCTTAAAGACAATGAAGCGCGATTATATGACTACAGGAACGGAAAAATGCAAGGACACCGCAAGACAATATAAAAACTACAATAATCAATAAAAGAAGAAAAAAAAGAAACATTTAATGTTCCAGAATACGTAAATTGCCGGATACGATTTTATTTTCCAGTATTGCACCTGGTGGAATATCAATTCGATCACCATGATTTGCAATAATAATTACCGTACCCTAAAAAGAATATTTATATTATCATTACATTAAAATTTATTTATTTATTTTTCTTTTGTTTACATACACGTAATGAAACACCTTTACCAAATGTAACATCTCCAGATACTGTAAGACTATCAAGTTCAAGACAATCAGGTATACTTTCAAAACGTGATAGAAAATCTTTCACCTTTATAGAAAGAAAAATAAAATAAAAGTAAGAAAAAAAAAACATAAATAATATACTTTAGTAAAACTTGTACCAAGTTTAACAAGTGGTACTGTAGGAAATGAACGTTGTTTATTCATGACTAAATTACCACGAGTAAGAGTAAATAAATTAGACATAACCAGTAAAAGATCTGATGTTGTTTTAACTGGTAAGAAACGTCGACGTGGAACATTAATACCTATAGAAAAAAAAAAAAAAAATTAATATGCTTTTAACTATTAAGAGAATATTATTAATTGCATAAGGATTATTATCTGATTTTATTACTTCATAAATCGGTCATCTGTTTTCTTGAACAATAGGACAAGCACTGGCATCATTTTTTAAGAGTGGCTAGAGTTTTCTCAATTTTCTATTAGTGAATTTGTTTGAATATTACAGCTTTTTGAGAATGATGAGTTTTGTTCATTGATATTCTTTGTACACACTGATGTATTTTGAAGACTCGTTTCATGTCTCCTAAGCATTTAATCTATGTTGATTATGACTTCTTTTCATAGCCGTAAGTCTCGAAAAGAGACACCAATCAAAATTCGAAACCCTCTTATGCTAAATTTCATTTGTGAGCGAGATGTTTTAGTTGAATTCGATGTAGGTTGCGCGATCTAGATTAGTTCTATATTTGTTATTTGTAACTATAGAAAATATATTTGTATAAGTAAAATTTACCTTGTGCTCCTTCAAAACTTTTAATTGCTGCACCACTAGCTGTTTCCAATTGAATAACATTAATACCTTTATCCAATGCCTAAAAAAAATTTAGATTATTTTTTATTTATTCATTTTGTTAAATAATAAATTACTTTATGATTAACAATGATTTCCATATGCAATGTTTTATCTTCAATAATACGTTTAATAGCAGGAAGATTAACCCATAAATTATTTGTATTAAAAATTCTAATCAATAGAAAATAAATAATTTTTATGATAATAAAACTAAAATGATATTTACCGAAATTTAGAAACACTTTTAAATTCATCAACATTCTCTTTTGGTACTTGAGCTATTTCAAGTAAACGTAATTTTCCTTGGTATTGAATTAAAGTACCACCCTATAAAAACGTTCAGAATTATCAAAATAAAAAAGAAGTTTATGCAGAAAATTTCTTTACTTTAACATCAGCTCTTGTTTTATCTGTTACTTCCATAACAAATTCATGTCTTGTTTCATCAGTTAATAGATGTTTAAGAATATCTATTTAAATAAAAAAAAAAAGAGAACACTTTCTATATCAAGAAAGAAAACATCTTACATAGATCAACAGTTGCTCCAAGATTATCAATATTACTTAAAAACATATATTCTTTTCCTTGTTCAATAAATTGATCAAGTAAACCCGAATTATAAAATGATTGATAAACATCTCCATGACCTGGTGGATACCAACATTCATTTTCTGAACTAGTCATATTCATTGCAACAGGTAATAATGTTTCACGATCAACACGTGGATATCTTAATAATAAAATAAATATATATATTTGATTATACAGATATCTTCTTTCTATTAGAAAATTACTTCGATTGATGAAAATTATAAATTTTAACTGATACATGACTATATTTTTGAAGAATTTTTTCAGTTTCTTCATGCGTATTAAATGAATTCATTAAAACAAGTGGTACATCACAGCCATATTGACGATTAAGTTGCTAATGAAAGAGAAAAACAAATCAAAACACAAAAGCAATTAAACTTTGATTTTTTTTACTTCAAGTTGTTGAATTGTTAAATCAAGAAATGTTAAACCACTTCGTACTGAAATAACACTTTTTGGTCCTTGACAACCCATTGTTGTACCTAGACCACCATTAAGTTTAACAACAATTAGTTTGTCTAATAAACTTTTCGGATCATCAATATCTGCTTCAATTAATTTTTTATATGGAATAACCTTGGAAAAAAATAAAATGATTTAAATAGAAGAAAAAAAAACATGATTTCATTTTAATTTACTGTTTCTTCTGGTGGTGGTTGAATTTCTTGCCAATCAATTGATGATTGATCAACACCCTCATGCAAATAACGACTAAATAATTGTTCAAATCCATCAAATTCAATTCGAACTTCCTTTTCAAAAAATTATTATTAAATAATTTATTTAGCAATATAATATTTTATTAACAAACTTTTTGTGTTTGAGATGGAGCAGTTAATGCAAGTTTATTTAATGATTTCTGTAATGTTGTAAGTGCATCGATTTTTGTTAAATCTTTAAATGCAGCAATATCCGATTGACTTGGTGTACGTTTAGCAAGAGGCTATAAAAGAAAAATAATTATTTAAGAATTTCTTTCTTTTTTTTTTGTTTTTTAGTTTAATTAAGTAAATAGTAAAAACTATATAAAATATAACCTCGTTCATAGGGAGCTTGGTATCAAGTTGTAACATTGATTGTGACATTTTACGTGCAGAAATAGTGTAGACTGAGCTATTATTTATTTTACTATAAATCCTCTTTTTTTTTTTCTTTCTGTATTAACTTTCTATGCTACCTTATATCATTTATACCTATCCTACTAATCCTTTGTAAAAAAAAGCCATGACGTTGAGAGTATCCGTTTATTGAAGCGTGATAAGAAAAAAATTTTGAATAGGGAAGAAACGACAATTTTCATATGTCTGTATGAATAATTACAAGCTTAAAAGAACGTTTTTGTTGCTTTTCTTATTACTCGATACATAATACTACTAAATTTTTTACATTTTTCAATATTGAATATGATTGGGTACATCTTCACTTTAATCAAATGCTGCACACTGATTGGTGTGATTGACACGCATAAACACATAAAGTGTACTGTGTGAAGATGAGGGCGCTGTGATTAAAGTGAAGATATATTAAAATTTTGATCTAGAAAATTTAATAAATTATTTTTACTTGATTCATGGGCAAATTTTTTCCTTTTTCAATTGACATTCTCTAATATTGACTGTTTTTAGTAGATTAATCTAAAAAAGCATAAACAACAACATTATTCTATTGATAGACTCTTGTTTCTTGCTATTCTATGGATATATATGTATATAAGTGTCCTAGAATAGAAAAACAAACAAAAGATAATGCTCCAACATTTCTTTAAACAATTAAGAAAAATTCAATCAACTGTTTTCTAGTAGAAATATATCATTTATTGAAGAAGTATTATTTCAATCAATAGGAATTCATTTTGATAAATTGCATATATCGAGGCATTATACTAAAGATTGTTTTGTATAATTGAATAATGAAAGTTTTCAAAAACAAAAAGTTATTTTTTCACTTTTTTTTTTGTTTTTTTATAAAACAACAACAAAAACAATCTACTTCCTTCATTCACTCAGGTTGCATCATTTTCTACTGAAAATAACAACAAACCATTCAATGAATAAGTTAAGATACATGACATAGTTGTTGCAGAGGTCGCTATCACACGCAGTCTTTTGAAAAAATATTGTTTCAGTTCTTTTGTTTTATTTGAATACAATTTATCACTTTTGGCAAATACAATATGAAGTTTGATTGATGAAATTTCAATATTGAATTGTTATTCTTCAGATGACAAACAGGTTATATGCAACGCATATTAACTAGCACAGTAGTATATATCGATATCGAAGGTGTGTCTGATTTGAAGAAGTTTTTGTATGGACTATTAATTATATATAGAATATGATCTTTTTAACAATGAGATTGCATATTACGATAATATTCTTATTTTAATTGTAATTCATTTAGTCATTCATTGAGCTTCTCAATACATCGATGACTTTTACGACTTATTGAAACCTAAAGGCTTGAAAATTATATGAATATAGAGTCATAGTCAAATATAATAGTATATTCTAGTTGATGCACAGATATTTGTTATTGTAGAAGGCCAAAACTAAGAAAAGCCACTTGAAAATATGCAAAAAAATTTCATGCATACTATCTGAGTCAATGATCTGTATACGAACAAAATTTAGTGATTCATGCATTCTAATTTATTTTAGTTGGAATAAGTAATCAAGCAGGAAATCCGACTTATTCTTCAACAAAGAACTAAAGAAAAGGAAAAAAATCGATGTGATCTCTTTTACTAAGCACAAGAAATGTGTTAGAATTAAGGCCGTCAATCTATTTTTCTTTTTTCCGTCATGATTTGTATTTAAAAAAAAAAGCAATAATTAATGCGTTCCGGCTAATAATAGAAAGTACAAAAGAGGAGAAAAGCCTCAATAGTAATATTCCGATGTAAAGCAACGACGACAGCCGACAACAAATCAGACGCTTGACAAGGCCACGTATAAACAACATTAACAGAGAACAGAACAAGTTGTATAAATAGTCGATAAATAATACTTGTGGACTGTTATAACAGAACTTATAATTATGAGTAAGTATCTAAGTTATGATTTGATCACATTTTCATCTCTATAGTTTCAGGTTTTGTACGAGAATTAGGAGCAGCTGAACGCATTTATTGTCGAGAACAAACAGACTATGGAAATCAAACATTGGTTCAAGTATTAATTATTTCAAATAAAAATATAATCAATGAATCAAAAGCTCGTCAAGCTTTAATAAAACTTTATCAAGATTATTGTCCAGTTCTTGGCTATAAAATTTGTCCATCAGATGATCAAACAACACTTGTATACAAATCAAAAGATAAACAAGATGCAGAACAAGATCTTATGTCTAATTTCAAATACGAACAGGTAAATGGAAAACTAAGGCGCCGGTAATTCGAAATTTGAGCAAAGTTGTTTCCTTCGACATCTTTTTGTTGTGTTTGGATAGCACTTGTCGAGTTACCTGAGAAAATGTTGTTTGCCACATATTCACACGATGCTTTTGTAGTGAAAAATTAACGTTCAAAAAAAAGTCAGAAAAGCCTATACAAATTCAAATACGCCAAAAGCATGAAGTCTCGGTAGTTTAGATGTTTATTCAAAGCTTTTCTTCATTTTACTCGTCATATAGCTACAAGAAAAAACTATGCATGCATTGTGAATAATACTATTTTATTGTTGAGAAAGTCGATTTTTTTTTATATGACAGTAAAACAACATAAATATGAGTTTCTATTGTAAGATTTTCATCATCAGAAGTTGTGTTCTAGAGAAAATAAATATCATATGCAAAATCTGCATAAAAGTCTATATCAAATAGTATTCATCATACTTGAAATTAATTTTGATCAAAGGAACGAGATTTTTAAGCAATAAAATCGGCTTTCTCTTGAAAAATAATTTCTTATTTTCCGAATAGTCAATGAAGATGTCAAGAGTCAATTGTTGTTCTTATAAGACCGTTCGACTTCATATCGACTGTGTGT